CTTTCTTGGACCACCAGGCCCCAAATCATAACACAGAGACTTATTACTAAATATGAATGCTCAACCTTAGCTTAGGCTTGTTTTAGCTAGCTCTTAAAAAAAAACTTAAATTAGCTCATTTCTATAATCTGTGTGCTGCCCCGAGGTTCATTTACCTCATCTGTATACTGTCCATCCCGCCTTCCTGCTTCCTTCGTGTCTGTCTGGCTGGCCCTCATCTGGCTGGCCGACCTCTCCTTTCTCTCTGGTCACCAACCCTACCTATCCCTCCTTTGCTTAGCTTTTGGCTGTTGAGCTTTTTATTGGACCAATCAGGTGCCTTAGGCAAGGCAAAGCAGCAACACATCTTTACCTAGTTAAACAAACGCAGCATCAACAAAAGTTGCACATCTTTACACAATGAAACAAATATTCTATTCCACAACAGTGGAGGGCAGAAAAGAGCATGGGATCCCCTGGAACCGAAATTAGTGGTAGCTGTGAGCTGCCGTGGAGATGTCGGGAACTGAGCCTGGGTTCCCTTTTCTTAGCTTTTTCTTAGTTATTTCTCCAGTCCCCAAAACCCAGTTTTAAAAATTAGACCTCCTAGTCCAATCCAATTCAAAGACAGACTGATCTGACACTCACATGCTGAGGAATGACCCTAGGAAAATATTAAAAGTCTTTTCTTTTTTTTTTTAACTGTTAGTGTTTTTTTTAATTGATTTTTATTGAGCTCTACATTTTTCTCTGCTCCTCTCCCTGCCTCTCCCCTCCCTTCAGCCCTCCCAAAGGTCCCCATGCTCCCAATTTACTCAGGAGATCTTGTCTTTTTCTACTTCCCATGTAGATTAGATCTATGTGAGTCCTTCTTAGGGTCCTCATTGTTGTCTAAATTCTCTGGGATTGTGATTTGTAGACTGGTTTTCTTTGCTTTATGTTTAAAAACCATTTATGAGTGAGTACATGTGATAATTGTCTTTCTGTGTCTGGGTTACCTCACTCAAAATGATGTTCTTTGCTTTTCATAATTTACCTTTATGTTTCTGTAAAAGCAGTAACTGAATGTACAGTAAAAACATTGCCGTCTATGACATATACTGCAAACACGTGGGCTATAGCTGAGGTGTTTTAGGCTATGCTCAGTGATGTTGTTTGCCATGACCATGAACACAGCATGCATGTTACGTGCTCAGAGTTCATCCTTTCGATATAACTGTGGGGAGCACTCACAGAAATGCCCCAGATTCAGCATAAATTTGATTTTGAAGTACTTTTTTTTGTCATTGGATACTTAGAAACTTTTGATCAGTTCTAAGTTTTCACAACCCCCACAGTTACATGATGCCATACAGGACCACAACCCACAGTTTAGGTAGCTGTGTTTTACCCCATACATCCCGGACTATTCCAGTATAATCCTGATGGCCACACAGCCTCTCTGATTCTCCTGTCTCCAGTTGAACAAAACATACTTAGGATACTTCTCTTACACAGGACTTTCCTGACTTGTCAACATCCCAGCAGGCAGAAAATGACAACGTTTTGAAAGCTCTTGATGTAAAAGAACAAGGCTGATGTTGGCTAGCCATAACTGTCTCAGGAGCTCCAGTTACCTTAGGACCGGTCTAATTGTGCCAACCTTGGTTTGGTGCCAAGCACAGGATTGTGCCTCACCTAGGTCCACATGATCTGACACTCCTGCCATTTGATGCCTGCCCCTTGGCATTTTGGCATCATGTTTTCCACCCCTAGGCCTCTGCTCCTACAGGATTCTTCATATTAAGTGGGGGAGTATCAGGGTTGCTGGCAGGATATTCTGATTTAACCCCAGAACAAATGGAATCTCGAATAGTTGGCAAACATTTTTCCTAGGGCCTCGATTGCTGTGTCTGTAACTTTAATAGCTTTAAAACAAAATCAGGGACTAGAACCCAGGTGCTTCTGGTGACACTCAGCTGTGTTGTATCATGTGACATGATGCTGCACACACACACACACACACACACACACACACACACACACAAAGGCAGGCTCTCTGTCCTTGAGAGGCAGCCCCAGCCTTGATTGTATCTTTTATACTTTGCCATAATGTATCCTCAAATACTTCGCTGCAAAAATATTAGTTGCAGTCCTTTTTAAAAAATTGCATTGTCTCCTTTCATGATCTCAAAAACCATAAGAAGCGAGTCAGAACAGGCTACGGAGATGGCTCGGTTGAGGAAGTGCTTATTGTGCAAGCTTGAGGCCTCAGGTTTGATCCCTGACACCTGTGTGGAAAAGCTGGCCGTAGGGGCACTGGTTTGTAACCCAGTACTGGAAAGGTGAAGATGGGCTCACTGGACACCCAATCTAGTTTACTTTGTGAGTTCCAGGCCGAGAGACCCTCTGAAGGCTGGCAGAAGGGCTGACCCGGTAACTGGGGGCAGACACCCCCGGTCCTGCCGCTCTGGCACCAGTCCTTCCCTGAAGTTTGCTCCCTCAGGAGTCATTCTTGCTTCTAAGGCCATCTTCATTTCCTCAGTACGGTTGCTCGCTTGCTTTGCAGCAGAGTCCCTCCATGTCACCAGCTCACAACGTCCTCATGGTGCCTGGCCTTCCCCATGACTGTTTTATCTTTTCTCATTGTTGTTCCCAAATGAAAGTGTCTACTTCATCCACATCGTGTAGTGAGCTTTTGAACCGTGTTGCTGTGGCTTCCAAAATATTTGAAACTCGAGCAGTGCTGAGTGCTTCTGCTATAGCAGAGGTCCATGAGTGTGAACAGTGACACTACTCTTGGGATTCTGACAAAGGGCCTGGATGTCTGTGTCCCGGCCACAGTGGCTACTGTCTTGCAATAGCAGCATAGCATTCACTGTAGCCAGGACCTGGGAGCTCGCTCTGGGAAAGTGGACGCTGGATTGACCACCACCAGTGTTCTGGCATGTATCATGAGGGTCCACATGGTGATCGAATCAGTTAACGTACAAGAAAATTTTGCATGGGCCCAGGCACCCTGTGAGATGCAAGACCTTCAGCGGAGAGGATGGAATCTGAGTGTACCCAGATGGACCAGAGGACCATGGACCTGCAAAGGAGAGCGGATCTGAACAGAGTTCATATGACATTTTAGGACCCATTGTAACATGAGGGCTGGCTTGTTGGGGTATCTATCCCGCCCGGCACCCCAACAAGTCAGCAAACCCCAAAGAAAACCAATCACACAGAGATCTCTATAAGTTATAAAGCTGATTGGCCCATTAGGTCAGGCTTCTTGTTAACTCTTATAACTTATGTTACCCCATTATTCTTATCTACGTTAGCCACATGGGCTCAGTACCTTTCTCAGTGTGACAGCTTACATGTTGCCTCTTCGGTGATCTGTGCAGGAGTGGCAGAGGAACTTTCCTGCTTCCCAGAATTCTCCTGTTCTCATTGCATCACCTCTACTTCCTGTCTGGTTTTCCTGCCTATACTGTCTGCCTGGCCAATCAGCGTTTTATTAAAATATGATTGACAGAATACAGACAATTCTCCCACATCAACCCATCACCCTTGAAGGTAGGGTTTAGGGGAGAACAGAAGTGAGCCCCTACTGTTAGGGACAAAAGGGATTATCCAAAATCTCTCTGTAGTATGACCCCTTTAGGTGACAGATCTTATACGACCTGCAAACAACAAGGGAAGGGGAAGAACCAAGCAATGCTTCCATCTGAGCTTTCTAGATGGGGAACCCAAAGGGAGTTCTGAAGCCACCCAGCGAGAAGTAAAGGAGATCAGGCCTCAGGGTTACTCTCTGCCACACTGTAGGAAGTGCTAGACAACATATAATACATCAAGCCAATCTACTGATGTGGGGCTCTCAGCAGAAGGGGAATCCCAATCTCCCCATGTCTTTGCGGATGTCACTCCTGGGTGATATCCAGCAAGCGTGGAGAGGGACTCGGGAAGTTGTATTGCTTTTCCTTTCTTAAAAAATAGTCTTTCAAATTTATTTATTAAATACTGAGTGTGTATGCGTTGGGAGTATATGCATGTGTGTATCTCTCTGTGGTGTATGGAGCATATGCTTGTGTGTGTATGGTGTATGGAGTATATGCATGCATGTGTATGTGTGTGCATCTGTGTGTGTATGGTGTGTGCATCTGTGTGTATGGTGTATGTAGTATATGCATGTGTGTGGATGTATGTATCTCTGTGTATGGTGGGTGTATGGAGCATATGCTTGTGTGTGTATGGTGTGTGGAGTATATGCATGCATGTGTATGTGTGTGTATCTGTGTGCATGTGTGGTTCATGGAGTATATACAAGTGTGTCTACGTGTGTGTGTCTGTGTGGAGTATATGTGTGTGAGTGTGTGCATAGGGGTGGGGCAGAGGGAAGTCAGCTAGTGACATTCTTTGTCTCCTGGAGTCGCCCCCTCCATCTTATTTTTTTCAGACAAGGTCTCTCTCTCTCACTGAACCTGGAATCCACTTTTGGCTAGATCAGTTAGTTGCTGAAGAGGCCCAGAGATCTTTCTGCCTCGGGTCCCAAACCCTGGTGTTATGGTATACATTGCCAGGCCCGACTTTTTTTTTTTTTTTTTTAATGTGGCTACTGGGGATCTTAACTCATGTTCTCATTATACCCAGTGAACTATCTCCCCAGCACACAACACTCCCCTTTAGAAAATTTAAATTGAAGAAGGGTGTCTTTAAATTACCCAAGCTGGCCTTCAATTCACACTGCAACCAAACAGGCCTTGAACTTTTATTCTTCCCAGCTCTGGGACTGAAATTTTGTATCATCAGGCCTGGATGCATGATTTTGGCCCCACCCCCCAAAGATGCATATTTGTGGTTATAAAAGCGTACACGCTCATTGATATACTTTGCAAAAATGGGATCAGCTCACCCCAAGTCAAGGTCGCCTTAGCTGTGGTGGTCCCAGAGGGCAGCCTTTTCTGCAGCGGCAGCTGAAGGCCGCCAGGTGACGCTGCGGAACAAGGATCTGGGAGGAGGAGCGTGGAGCGCGACAGCACATGACTTGGGCTGGGGAGCCGGCGTCACGTGACGGGGTCCGGAAGCGGCTGTCCAGCAGACTTAAAAACGATGGCTAGGGGTCGGCGCTGAGGCTGCGCAGGGTGGGTTGAGCTGGAGCCGGAGCCCGGGCTGGTCAGGGTCGAGCGGTGAGTAGTGCACGCCCTGCACTGCAGTCCGGAGAAACGTCCTGCTGTAGCGCCAGGCGCCGGGTCCTCCCGCTAAGCAAACGCTGCTGCTCAGGGACCGGTCACCCGTGGGGTGGGGTTTCCCGAGCCCTTTTTGACAGGTGTGCAGTCACGGTATCCAGGTGGAGAGGGTCTCACGGATGCCCAGCCCTGATTAACCCCTTGTTTCCTAATGCGGCTGGACGAGCCATGCCCTTGCCTTGGGTCACAGGGTACCAAACTGCAACTCCCCTCCTCCGATAGGAGGGGAAACGGAGGCTCGGGCTGTATGGGGGCTTCTGAGATATTCTCGCGGCAGGGTGTCAGCTCCGGCAGCTGTTAGCCTCCTGCCACGTCGCCTTCTGCGGGGAAACTCGCCCTGCGAAGAGCCACTTGTCCCTTCCGCTGTGGGTCGCGTCCTTGTTTAGCTCTGCTCTGCCTGGGTTCTCCACGCCAGGCTTGGGCTCTGGGTGTGGTTCTGTTCGCTGAGGTTTTTTCTTTTTTGCACACTCATCACTCTGTAGGCTTCGTTTCTAACCGTCCTGCTGTTTTGTGGAAGTCACACAGAAATATGAAATAGGAGCTGAAATAGGCTAGAGGGGCTAGGGCGTAGAGAAGCCCTGATGTGAACGTGATGTTTGCTTTGTTTTGTTTCCCATAATTAGATTTTGGTAGCGACTTCTTATGTGGATGGATTTTTTTGGCGCGGCGTGAGGGGAGCGGTGGCCACCTGGAGCGGGGGATCGGGGATCGTTTGATACAGGATAGCAACATAGTTTCCTGTAAGGAACCCACTGACCCTCGGGAATCGCCTAGTGCTTTAGCTTTTGCCTCTTGCTTGACGCCTAAGCTGACTGGAAATTCTCAGCTGGGTTTACATTTTTCAGTGTATGGCAATAGGGCTGATTGAGCCCCCGGGCGTCCTTTTGTTCTGACATTCTCATCATTGGGGTCTGTATGCTGTTATTCGGAGAGATTTCTCACTCCTTGTGTACAAGGGCTAGATCTCATTCTGGAAGGAATTTTACCTATACTTATTCCTGATTGTTTTGAATGCACAAGCCCCGCTCCCCACTGCCCTCATTATGGCTAAACAGACAACTGGCAACTTATCTTTCTCAGGACCAAGACCTCTTTTGGCTCTTGTTTGCATTCTAATTTACTAATTAACAGGTAGATTTAGCATATAGGTTTTTTGTTTGGATGGCTGGAACCTGGACCCTTGGACATACTGAGCAAGCACACTTCCAGTAGTCTGCATCCCATCCCTTAATTTTTGACTATGGACCATGTTTCTTTAAAGATGTTCTTGAGGTTGAAAGTAGGAGGTGCCGCTGGCTCTCAGCACTTAGCGCTAACTTGAGACTGTGTGATGTATGTGCTCGCTGCAGGCTCTTTGTTTTTATGTCTCTACCTTCTCTTTAAACCCCGTGGTTGTTTGTTTGGCCTCATTCGTGTTTCGCAGTCTTTGTCTAGCCCTGAGTCTAGGAGAGGGGCATTTGTTTATTTTAGTATTCTGGAGACTACAGTTGAGATCAGTGCAGTCAGGAAAGTGGTTTTGAGCATGAAAACTTTCAAGGAATCGGTTCTCTTTTGTGTTGGACACAGCGTGGAGTTCCTTGTCGCCACATGGAATTATCATTGGGCGTTTAATTGGTTACCTTGGGTTTGTTGCAGGTGAATCTCTAGTTGGCCAGAGAACTGACCTAAATACAACTGTGTTTTCCTTCTCTCTCCTCCCCTCTCCTTTTCCCTCTTCCTCAATTCCTCAACCCCTTTTCCCCTCCTACCCTCTCTCTTCCTTTCCCTTTCCTCCCATCCTTCCCTCTTCCTTTCTCTGTGTGTTTATGCACATGCATGAGTGTGTGTGTGTGTGTGTGTGTGTGTGTGTGTGTGTGTGTGTGAGAGAGAGAGAGAGAGAGAGAGAGAAACCAGAGCACAACCTCAGGTGATGTTCCCCAGGTGCCATCTTCCTTTGCTGAGACAGTCTCCTTGGCCTTGAGCTGGTTGTTTGTTTAGGTTGGGTTGGTCATGAGCCCTGTGGATTCACCTGTCTCCATCTCCCAAGCACCTGGCTTTTCCCCTTGTATTCTGGAATTGAACTCAGGTCCTTGTGTTTGCAAGGCAAGATTTTACTGACAGCTGACTTGCCAGCACCTTGTTTTCTTCCTTTTGCCTCAGCTCCCACCTCATGAGGGTCTCAGCTCTTTAGAGCTGGCTGCTTGTTGCTTCTTCCATGTCTTGAAACCAGACCTTGGACTGGGCTGGTGAATGTTTTTATTTTTCCCTGCTTTCACCAGCCCCGAAGCTGCTGCTAACCGTTTCTAGAACCATGTTCCTGAAGTGACTTTTCTTTTTCCTGTGAAGGAGAGTCCCAGTTAGTCTGTTGACCTGAACCCAGGCCTCGAGGATCTCATGCCTCCTTCCTTTGGCCAGATGCAAAATGCAGCTCTCCACCTCATGGACTGGCACATAAGCTGCGTAGCATGGAAGCCACAGGGTGCTGTATGTGAGGCTACCCCAAACACATTGTTCTTGGAAGCCTAGACATCCAAACCAGGGCTCAATGACCTGCTCGTGTGTGTGTGTGTGTGTGTGTGTGTGTGTGTGTATGTGTGTGTGGCGGGATCTCTTCTGTGCTGCTTTTCTCTGTGAATTCAGCAGTCAGTCTGTGTGGGGCACGGCAGGCCTTTGGTATTAGCTCAACATTTCCAGGTTAGGGACCCATCTCAGCCCTTGTCCTAGTTTTTGCTCTGTTGCTGTGATAAACACCACGGCCAGAAGCAACTTGGGGAGGAAAGGCTTTGTTACATCTTATAGCTTATAATGAAGGGCATTGGGGCAGGGACTCAGCAAGGCAGGACCTGAAGCAGAGGCCATGGAGGAACCCTGCTTACACGCTTGCTCCCCATGATTGCTCAGTCTGCTTCCTTACACCAACCAGGACTACTTGCTCATGGGTGGCACCACCTCCAGTGGACTGGGCCCTTCCACATCAATCATTAATCAAGGAAATGCTTCACAGACTTGACTGCAAGGCAATCGGGTGTAGGCATTTTCTCCTTTGAAATTCCCTTCTCCCGGCGATGTGATGGCCATTCTTAGTTGTCAACGTGACAACAACGGAAATTAACCAAAACTAAGCAGCTGGGTACACCTGTGAGGTATTTTCTTCTTTTAATTAAATCATTTGAAATGGCAAGCCACACTCTTCGCCCAGATCTTTTGAGATGGGAAGATCCACCTTTAATCTGGGCCATATCTGATGGCAGCCTGTATAAAGGACGCGGAAGAAGGAAGAGCTCCCTGCCTCCTTGCTCTTGCTAGCGAGTCCTTTCTCTGGTCTATAGTGTCTCCATGGTAACAGTCACTACCATCACTGAGGGTCCACTGTGTGCCAGGCAACGCACCTGGGCTTTGTCTTATCTTCCTAACAGTACTACAGCTTGGCGTACTGGGGACCATCTCTCGGGTGAAGGAGTTCAGACAGAAGCAGAGAGAGTCACTTTGCTGGACTTCCTTCCTGATGCCAGCCTGTATATGTCATGCAGAATACCCCCTGGGTACCCAGCTCTGGGACCAGTTTGGGGCTAGGCATTTTAGAACCTGTACCATCTGGTGGTAGAAGGATATTGGCCCAGTGGTGTGGGAGAATTGGCTGAACTGTGATCTGCAGTTCTGACCTGGAATCACAGGTGACCTTTCTGCATCTGGCAGTTGGTTGGGGCCTTCTCTACACAGGCTGTGGTTTGCCTCTGGATGTAGGCTCCTATGAAGTCACGCCTGGCCCTGGCACTTGGTGTGTGTGTAAAAGCTAAACAAGCTTGCCTGTCCCTTAGTCGCCGTGCACTGCTGACAACAGCAGCTGTCCTGTGGCTGCCCCAGCACGGGACTCCTTCGGGCACGAGGCTGGATTGCAGAATACACTGTGGTGACTTTGGTGGAGTGCCTCCCGATGCTGTTTCTAACTGTTCTTGTAGATGGAAGAAATTTTCACTTCCCTCCCGCTAGACCACATTGGGCAACCCAGTCTGTGTCTTCTGTTCTTGTCTATGGCATTCTAGTACCAGAGAAAAGAATGTACTGCTTGCTCTGGGTTCTAGAATCCAATTCATGGCCTTAAAATAATAGACTACTTAGTTTGCAAGTAGTCACCATAGTGGGCTGGGGAGATGGCTCAGATTAAGTACATTTGCTCCTCTGCCCAGAGGGCCAAGCTTGGTTCCCAGCACCCATGCAGGGGGGACTTAGCTGCATGTAACTCCAGCTCCAGGGACTCTGATGCCCTTTTCTGACATATATTCACACAAAGTGCACATGCATACACATCAGAAAAATAAATTTTTAAAAATTACTACCTGTTCCTGACTGTGGTGGGAGGTGAGGCCGGAAGTATAGGCAACATGATAAGATTATATATTCTGAAGCACTTTATGTAAATAACTGTGATCAGGGTCACTCAGGAAGCCCAATAAAACCAAACCTGCTGAGTGTTGGGGTGCACCCCTGTAACCTAGCCCTCGGGTGGCTGACACAGTGGAGAGAGACCAGTCTGAGTTGCAGAGAGAGGCGAGCCTGAGTCCAAAAAAAAAAAAAATAAAAATAAAATAAGACTTCCTAGCCTTGGCTGAGCAGAGCCAATAGGTAAGATGCACATTCTCTCTGATTTCTAAATTTAATGTAATAGCATTAAAAATCTAGGAAAAAAAACCTTCTTTTTTTGCAGTTTCTACATCTTATCTTAGCCAAAAGGCAAATAGCATTTTTTTTGCATTTTAATATTTAACTGAATATATTCCAAAGTAATATTACTGTAATATATAGACCACATAAAATTTTAAGTTCACGAGGTATGGCGTCATTTTTATTCTAGTGTATACAGGGTTCAGCTTTGATCACTAGGTTTGTTTTGTCTTACTTTGTAGCCCATCCTGGTAATTCTGCCTTAGCCTCCCTATGGGTACTGTTGAGTGGAGACATTG